ACCCAATAAAAAAAGGAGGCGTTCAAGGGAGGGAGAGGAAGGGTAGGGAAAATAGCATTCCAGGAGTCTCTAGCATGCTGACAGTAGAAGAGGCAGTGGATAATGGATTCGTGTGGGTTTTGACAGACTTCACAAGTCTGGTTTGGGGCACATTTCCGGTGAAAAAGCCTCTCTTTAGTTGCCAACCCATTTATGGAGCATCTCCAAATGAAGAACTTAAGCTTTGGAGGGAGATTCAGCCCCCAGCTCCCTTTCCAATTCTCTGCATTCCCTGACGGTTGAAAGTTTGTGTTTGCTTTGTGAACCGCATGGTAGGCAGTCCTAACCGAGAAGCCTCCATCCTTGGCGAGACTCCAAGCCCAAAAATCCTCAGATCCTTCTTCCCCAATCGGGACCCGAAGGATAGCATCCATCTCCTCATTAGAGACATGGCCTTGAAAAATATCTGAGTTCCAGCTCCTGTCACCTTGGTTGATCCATTCGTTAACCCTTATCTTCTGTTGGGGACCACTACTAATGCCAAAATTATGCAGAGTAGGGATCCACGGGTCAAGCCCAACCCATGTATCCTTTCCCGACCCAATGACCTTAATTGCTCCCATATTGATTACTTTTTTTGCTTCCCAGAGACTGGCCCAGATCCAAGAAGATCTGTTTCCCTTTTTTGAATTAAGGAAATCCCCTCTCGGATAATAGAGGCCCTTGAGCAGACGACACCAGAGGGATTCGGGGGAGTTTAGGAGCCTCCATGCTTGCTTACCCAAAAGGGCCATGTTAAAGTCTCTGAAACTCCTAAAGCCCAAGCCCCCTTCCGCTTTAGGTGCACACAGGATCTCCTTTCTACACCAATGCAGACTACTCTTCTGCATAGAACCTGACCAGAAGAAGTTGGTGAGGAGAGAGTCCATTTTCTTTGTAAGGGACACCGGCAGGTGGAACAGGTACATGATGTATGAGGGGATAGCTTGAATGACGGCTTTGAGTAAGATTTCTTTCCCTCCATGAGAGAGAAGTAGACTTTTCCAGGCTTCTCCCATTTTCTCCATTCTTTGGATGAGAAATTGAAAGGTCTCCTTCTTTGAACTACCCCACTCCGTCGGAACTCCCAAATACTTTGAATGGCAATTAGAAGAGGAGAAGCCAATGTGGTCAGTAATACTGGTTTTGTCTTCACTGGGGACATTCGCGCTGAAGAAAACTGAAGACTTATTGATATTGACTTCCTGCCCTGTGATTGCCCCATAATCTCTTATAAGCTCCATGATTTTCTCAGCTTCATGATGGTTAGCCCTACCAAAAATGACAGTGTCATCGGCAAACAAACAGTGGGTAAGCACCGGGCATCTGGAATTCAGCTTGATCCCTTTTAAATGATCCTGGGCAACTGCCTTATCAATTAAAAAGGAGAGAGCATTAGACATCAAAATGAAGAGAAAAGGGGATAAGGGGTCTCCCTGTCTAATCCCTCGGGATGGTGTGAATTCCTCCGAAGCTTCCCCATTAAAGAGGATGGAAAATCTGACCGACCGGATGCACGAACTCACCCACTTGCACCACCTCTCATCAAATCCATACCTCTTCAGCAGGATTTCCAAGCAATCCCAGTCCACCATATCGTACGCCTTTTTCATATCAAGCTTTAGCATCATGTCTCTTCTTCTTCCCCGCTTGTGGTTCTTAAAATGGTGGAGCGCCTCATGGACAATGATGATGTTATCTTGAATAAGTCTCCCCCCAGTGAAGGCCGTCTGAAGCTCCGAGACCAGCAAAGGTGTCCAAATCTTGAGGCGAGTTGCCATAATTTTTTATATAACTTTATATCTAAAATTACAGCAACTGATTGGACGAAACTGGCTTATCGACTCTAGGTTATCCACCTTGGGAATCATCACAATATGCGTATTATTCCAACCATCGGGCATTGAGGCAGACTCAAAGAACTCTTTAATTTCTCTGCACAGCGTCTCCCCAATGATATCCCAGAATCTTCGATAGAACCGGCCAGAGAAACCATCTGGGCTGGGGGCTTTTCTCGCTCCTAATCTAAAGACTGCTTTCCTAATCTCCTCACTGGTCACCGGCGCACAGAGCGCCTCATTCATTTCTGCTGAAACGCTTTTTGGGAATCCTTCCAAAAGTTGGTTTGACGGAATAGTGTTTCTAGCCTTAAAAAGCTCTTTATAGAAATCCTGCGCTAAACCTTTCAGACTATTCTCATCTTCAACCCAAATTCCCTCATTATCCTTCAGTCTAAGGATTCTGTTCTTATGTTTTCTATAAATCGTACTTGAATGGAAAAAAGAAGTGTTCTGGTCACCTTTCTGAAGCCAATTCACCCTTGAGCACTGATTCCAGAAAGCCTCCTCGTCCATCCAAATCTTCGACAATTCTTTCATAAGAGTTTTCTCTTCATCCATTGTATCCTGTATTCTGGGCGGGCGTTGGATTGCCTCAAGTCGATCAAGGATAAAGTTCTCCCTTTGTAACCTATTTTTATGGAACTCCTTCGACCACTCTTTGAGCTCCTGCTCACATTTGCTCAGCTGGTTGGACGATTGACCCCCCGGATCCCACGCTCGAGCCACTATTTCCTTACATTCTTCTTTCTCAAGCCATCTCTCGTCCACCCTGAAAGGCGTCTTCCTCCTTCTATTGCTTCTGTAGTGGAGCTCCAGTCTGATGGGGCAATGATCCGATTCCACCATCTTCTCATGGAAGACTACCGCCTCCCCGAAAAGGGTTCTCCAGGATGCCGAGCAAAGAACTCGGTCTAGACGAACTCTCGTTGTATTCTGTCCCGTCCTCTTATTAGTCCAGGTAAAAGGCTCCCCTTTAAATCCTAGATCAATAAGAGCATTATGGAAAATGAACCTTTTAAAGGGTTCCACATTCTCATACCTAAGAGGACATCTACCCTCTTTCTCATTCTCATAGATAGCAGCATTGAAATCCCCTACCACAACCCAATTATCATCCCTACAACTCCGAAGAGAGCTCAAATGCTCCCAAAAACCCCTTCTACTAACAGCGGTAGAGGGTGCATGAACGAAAGTACAATAAAATTTCCTACCCATATCAATACTAACATCCATATAATAGCTATCACTACTTAAGACAGTTATACTAATACCCGCCTTCCACCATAAAGCAAAACCCCTCGAAGAGTTAACCGGTTCAACATACTCTCTATTGGGGAAAATTTTGAGACTTCTTCTTTGCTCCTCCATGAATGCTTCGTTCTTACTCGTTTCCATGAGGAAAACAATAGAAGGGCCTAAGCGTTTACAAAAACGCTTTGCATAACTTCTTGTAAGGGATGGGCCAAATCCCCTACAATTCCAACTTACGATACTCATTTCTGAAGAGGTGGCTTCTGGCGAACCACCGCTGCCTTCCCTTTCCTTCCCGGGTCCTCTTGCTCCCCCTCGGATTGAATCCCCTTTGAGCTGCCAAACTGCTGAGGTTTATACCTCTGATTTTTCTTTTTCTTATTATTCCCCCCAGGCCCACCCACAAAATTCACCTCTGTTGGGCTCAAGGAGGTGAGCCCTTCAGCATTTAAAATATTGTCCAGGCCTGTACCCTTTCTTTTTTTTTCTGTCTGCGGCCCACTTCCTCCTCCAATCCTTCACTCACATGCTGGTACCTTGCAGGATCAGCCAGGCCCGCCCACACCCGAGTGGCTTGTTCTGTCTGGGCTTGGAGACTCGGCCCAAGCGTGAGGCCTGTCTCCACCTCCCCTTCCCTCTGCCATTCCTCCAGGAGAACTCTCTCCTCCTCCAACCGTAAACCTCCTTCCATCGCCGCCGCCGCCCTTTCCATTTCCAGCCCCAAATCTTTCGCCCCCATCCCCTCCCTATATCTGCCTCTTTGTCTTCCCTGTATCTCCTCTTCCTCAGCTTCTTGGACCTCTTGTTCCAATCTTCTTACAGTAAATCCCGGCGGGATCAATTGATACCCCTTCGAGCCTCTTCCTCCCGTCGTCGGGCCGCCAGTTTCTCCCCCTCCCGATCTCGTCGCGCCGACCGTATCTCCCCCTCCCGATCGGGCAACACTTCCTGATCTTGTTCTGTCTCTCCCATCCGATGAGCTTTGCGCTCCTTCCCCCTCCCCGCTGCTTCTGGTGCTCGATGTAGGATGTCTGTGGGGAGAATCGATTCCAGCCTTTAGAGATGAGTTGTAGATGTCCGAAAGGTAGGCGACTCCGTTCTTCCTCCTCTCCTCGTTCATCCTCCAGCACGACGGCCAATTATGGCCGATTCTTCCGCAAAAATAACAGAGCTCAACTAACCTTTCGTACTTAAACTCAATCACATCACAATGCTCGATCCCAGTGGTTTCGTCGGTAAAGGGGAAATCGAACCCTGTAGGAACAGGTTCCTTGAGATCAACCTCCACCAATATCCTCAGAAACCTCCTGTAGCCATTGAATTCCAGGCTAGCTCTGTCGATGTCGAGAAGCCCCTGGAAGTAATAGGTTCCAATCGACACCATGTTCTTCTCGATCCTTTGGTTTTGGTGTAGTCCATGGATTTGCACCCACATAGCCAGCTTCTCCATTGGGGTGTCTTCTGGTTTTCCTCTTCCATTGTACTTCTCTATCGCTGTCAGCGTATTGGACAAGCTCCATGGTCTGTCCCTCCATATTCGTTCCCTTGTCTCCTCGTTGTTGAAGGTGAATAGGAAGAGATTTTGCGATTCAGTGGGTTGGACATTCACCTCCCCATACCCTCCCCAGGCATAGCGTGCAGCCCCCGCCGCTTTTGCCAACGCCACCTTGTTCTCTGTCAGCATCTTTCCCAGCAACATGGCCATTCCCCTCCCTCCCGAAGATGACAGGTTTGGGCGCCCTTCTCTGCCTTTTGATTATGATGATGATACGATGCTTCTGTTGGTTTCCATGATAAACCGAAGGTAACTTCCTACTTCAAAGGGTTGTGTTTTTTCAGGGTAGAGGAGCTGGACTTTCTGGTAGAATGGAGTGTATATTAGGAGCTTCTTTATATAAGCATATGCACTTCTCCTCCCTTTCTCGGTTTCTTTATGGCCTCTCCTTCGTAGGTAAGTTTCTCTGCCCTCTTTATGGCTACTCCTCTGTTTGTTGTCTTCAATCCCCTCTTGTTGGTGGTGTTTACCTCTCCTGTCAAAGCATTCATTATGCTTCTCTTGACTGATCTTTCCCTTCCTCTGTTTCTTCCCCTCTGTTGCAGTGGCTCTTGGCTCAAGGCTCCCCTCTTCCTGCCCCCGATTCGTGTCATAGGTTGTAGCAGAGCTCTTCCTAGACTTTCTATTCCCTCATTTCCCTCTACTTCTCTTCTTATTCTGCCATTGAATGATAATCTCCCGCAGATCCGGTGGCTTCCATATGTTCCTTCCCCAAAAAATTGAACAGAGCTTCCCCTGTATTGTCCCATCCCTTTTGGTGCAGCATCTGATGGGGGTTGAGACCCTTTACCCGACTCTATCTTGTCATCACTTCGGTAGTATCCATTGTATCTAGCAGAGTAATAGTTACCATTGCCCTTAGCTTGGGCTATTTTCCATTTTCTTCTTCTTCCTCTGTTTAGGCTGGTAGAGCCTTTATTGCCGCCGTCTGGAGGTTTCCAAACATCAATCTGCAGGAGAATCTTCCCTGCCCCTGGATTTGTGGAGCTACCGTCATCTCTGAGCAGGAAAGGTGGGTGTGGAAGAACATTGATGGAGGAAATGGTCACCAGAAAGCTCTTTGCAAGAGCTGAAGGAGTCCCAGCTGTGGGGACGGAAAAGGAACCGTTGCTTGGTTCAGAGAAAGTGTCCGTTAGAGAGAGAGAAGAGAGAGACATATTGTTCCTAGCAATTTACATTTATTGTTCATTGCGTTCCCTATTGCAACAATTATCTATTAGGTTTTCATATATGATCTTTCGCCCAAATCATCGCCTTGGCCCACCAATTTGCAACCCATCTTGAAATCATAAGTTGTTCTCTTCCACCGTTTGCCACAACCGCTACCAAAGATCCATACCATATCTCAAAATACTTTCGGTAGAATCCTAGGCTGTACCCATCCACCATGTCCCAAGACCGCTACCGAAAATCCATACCAACTTGCTCTGTGTTGCCGAGTTTTGTATCGGGACCGAGTTTTATATTCATTAGTGTTTTCTTATTTCTCCTTTTCTTTTGGTTAAGGATGACAATTTAACTCAAACTCATGGGTATACAACCTAATTCAACCAAGTCAAAGCGACTTGAACTCGACTTAGTAATTTTAAATTTCTATTTTTCTTTTTGTTGAGAATGACAATTGAAGCCAAACCCATGGTATTCACGAGTTTTGTATCGAGAGCGAGTTTTATCCGCTTTTGTAGTTGGCATGGTGGGTCGAATGTGAATTTGTTAAAAACTCGATCCGACCTAGTCAAAGCGAGCTGAAAATGGTGTTGACGAGTTTTGGGTCAAGACCGAGATTTATCTATTTAATGTTATTTTATTTTTCCGCTTCATTTTCGTTGAGAATGACAATTGAAGCAAGACTCGGTGCTGACGAGTTTTGTATTGAGAGTAAATTTTATTTGCTTTAAGAATTGACATGTTGAGCCGACTATGAATTGTTAAAAACTCGATTCGAACCAGTGAGGCGAGTTGAACTTGGTATGTAGAGTTTTTGGTGGGGAACGAGTTTTATCCGCTTCAGTATTTTTTATTTATCTTTTCCTTTTGGTTGAGAACCCAAACCTATGGGTATCAACCTAATTTAACTTGATAAAAATGACTTGAACCCGATGTTTACAAGCTTTCAGGAAGAAGTGAGTTTTATTCGCTTTATAATTTGCTAGTCGAGTCGGTTGTGAATTTGTTACATACTCATTTCAACCATATCAAAGAGAGTGGAACATGATGTTGCCAAGTTTTGGATCGTGAGCGAGTTTTATTCACTTTAGTGTTTGTTAATTTCTCCGGCAGGTGTGAGTTTTATATGCTTTTTAAATTGTCTGGTAGGGGTCGATTGTGAATTTGTTACAAACTCGGTTTCAACTAGGTCAAAGCGACTTGAATCTGACTTGAGTAATTTAAAATTTCTGCTTTTCTTTTTTGTTGAGAATGACAATTAAACCCAAACCTATGGTATTGACGAGTTTTATATCGAGAGCGAGTTTTATCTGCTTTGTAATTGACATGTTGGGTCGAGTGTGAATTTGTTAAAAACTCGATTCGACCTAGTCAAAGCGAGCTGAACACGATGTTGACGAGTTTTGGGTCAAGATCGAGATTTATCTATTTAATGTTATTTTATTTTTTCGTTTCCTTTTCGCTGAGAGTGACAATTGAAGCAAGACTCGGTGTTTACGAGTTTTGTATCGAGAGAGAATTTTATCTGCTTTTAGAATTGACATGTTGAGCCAACTATGAATTGTTTAAAAACTCGGTTCGAACCAGTAAGATGATTTGAACTTGGTGTGTAGAGTTTTTGGTGGGGAACGAGTTTTATCCGCTATAGTGTTTTTTATTTATATTTTTCCTTTTGGTTGAGAACCTAAACCTATAGGTATCCAACCTAATTTAGCTTGATAAATTAGGTTGGAGTGAGTTTACAAGCTAATTTGAACCCCGATGTTTACAAGCTTTCAGGAAGGAGTGAGTTTTATACGTTTTTGTAATTGTCTGGTAGGGTCGGTTGTGAATTTGTTACAAACTCGGTTCAACCAGACCAAAGAAAGTTGAACATGATTTTGCCGAGTTTTGGGTCATGAGCGAGTTTTATTGACTTTAGTGTCTTTTTTTCTTTTTGGTTGAGAATGAATTTGAAAAAAAAAGGAAAAAGAATACAAACTAATCAATAGTGTTTCAGTAGTGTAACGAGAAAGATTTAACATAGAAATCATTTGCTCGATGACCTTTCTCGCTTATTAAAGTTAATTGTTGTAGATGACAAGCCCTTTATTTTTGGATCAAAATTTAAATTATTAATATTTAAAATATAATGTTCTCACTCATACGCGAAGCAATAGCGAGCTGATTTAAGCTTGTCGTTATAAATAATAAAAATTCGTTGCATTTACCCCTTCCCAATTTCCCATAATTCCATACCTCTTCTTCATTGCTCATTACTATATGTACTCCCACCGATCGACAGAGGCAGCCCACAGATCCCTAAACAAAACCTCCACCTGCTTGCTTGCTGAGCCATTGCTAAAAGTTTAGGTGGGCCTGCGCTCAAGAGGAAGTTTACAATGCTTTAAAGTATGAGTGCTTTAGTTTTTACTTTTAAGGTACAATTTCAAATTGTACCTTTAATGTTATGATACAACTTTATATTATACCTATATTCTTTTGTAAAACCCATTTATGGTACAAACTAAAGTTGTACCTTTATGTTATGATACAACTTTACAGTTAGAAGCTGTACCACAATGTAAATGTCAAATTCACTTATGGTACAATTTCAATTTGTACCTTTAATGTTATAGTACAACTTTAAGTTGTACTTTAAAGCATCAATACTTTAAAGCATAGTAGAAGTGCTCCTGCACTCAATCGCTAATGGGATTACACCAACTAAGAACCAATTTGTAATTTGACTCGCAATATCACATAAGCTTTATATGAGGGGGATCCTGTGATTAGGAGTTGAGCAAGTTCCTCCTAACTCTTAAATCTAGACACATCAATTTAATGATTACAAATAAGAAGTGCTTTTTAATTAATGAAGGATAATTTGAGTATAATAAAAAATTATGAAGTATACAAATAAGACTTACAAACATCACAAGATGCGACTCTTGCAGTTGAAGACCCTCGGCCAAAATCTCTAAATTTCCCAACCGGGGAATGGTTGCAAAGAACCCCCCGATTAGTGGGTTTAAATACCCGGCAAGGGATTGGGGTCTAACGAGTTTATTTACCTTTTTGGTTTGGGAGTCTTTTATCTTTTCGGTGTTTTCATTAGTGTAATTTTTTCAGACATATTTAAAGTGTTGTAAACACGAATTTTAGAGATTAGACTTTGATAAATATTGATATTTTCTTTATTCTTTGAGCTTTAAGTTTGAGAATTTCAGATTTGTATCAATGAAGTTTTCCCCTTGATTGTGGTCAAGCTTTTATCTTTTATGTTGTTAGAGCCTTCTCCCATCTTGTGTTGAGATTGCACTTTCAATTCCATCATATCCCAAACATAACTCCTAAAAATATCTTTTCTTGATCGTTCTTGAAGCTGCATTACTTTGATAACTACGAGCGCCAGTTCTATGCTCGTATATGTACAAATCATACAAACAATACAAACTAGAACCACAAAACATACAAACAATATAAACAATCCAAACATGAGCGATAAACAATACAATCATAAAAAATGGTAAACACCCAGGTTGACTTTGGAGGCTCCATCCCTATATAGAGGGATTTCCGTCCTAAAGTCAACCAGGTTGTTTTTTAGACATACAAACATTACAAACTTGGTGGACAAAAATGACAAACTAGACTGACAAACCATACAAAATGAAAAAAACAGTCGGGTTGACTTTGGAGGCTCCATCTCTATATAGAGGAGTTCCACCAAAATGTCAACCAGGTTGTTTTTAGACATAAAAAATATTACAAACATGGTTGACAAAAATGACAACATATTGCACAAAAATAACAAAGCTTACAAACATTACAAAGAAACCGACAAACGTTACAAAAACAACAAAACTTACAAACATTACAAAACAAACAGGCAAACATTACAAAACATACTAATAGTACAAAATGTCGCTACTTACAATACAAAACAGTAAACTTGTATTACAAATCAATGAATACTATACAATCATAACATAAAGTATACAAACTAGACAAACAAACCTTACAAATTACAATATATAAAAATTAGTCATATAAACAGTACAAACATAATAGATAAAAATGACAAACTAGAATGATAAACTAACCTACAAGTCCACATAAGAAGTTAGACCGTGGAGAAAGATTGGGGCATGAGAGCAACTAGTTATTTTTAGTGGCTCTGAGTTAATACGATGTTTGTTGATTCGGGCATAATTACACATATTTTACCCCTCATATCTTGATTGTTTGACTTGGTTAACCTATTTTATGCTAGGTTGTGCTTCTTTTGTCACATTTTAGGTCTTAGTACATGTGGAATGGCCAGTGACGAGTTTCGAGGCCATTGAAGGTCGAAAAGCACCAAAAAATGAAGAATAGTCAAACGTCACTGGTTGGGGGTAATTGTCACGGTCTTCAAGCCGTGACAATTGAGCACAGCGTGACATTTGAACATAATCAAAAGGGTCTTCACGTCTTGCAGGCGTAAAGATTTTCACGGTCCCGAGACAGTGGAAATCACCCCGTGACCGTGAAAATGGCCCAAAATGGTGCATTTTTTGCCGAGATCACCCTATGCTTGCTATTATAACGGTCGTGAACAGTAACTGTGAAGTCGGCACCGTCAGGAAAATATAAAGACAACAGCTTGGAGAGAGAAAGGTGAGAGGGTTTCGACTCAAAACAACAGAGGGGAGTTCTAGTGTGTGTGAGAGAGAGAGGGAGGGAGTTCTTGTGTTATCTTGGAGCTTAATTGAAGGCATTGGTCAAGTTAGGAAGCTAGGAATGAAGCCTAGAAGACGATCTTGTGCTCCAATTTGTAATCTCTCTCTTCTCTCTCTAGAAACTTGCCCTCTTCTCTTGGGTTTAAGAACCCTAGGTCTAGGTTTTCGTTTTATGTTTAAGTATGTGATATATTCTATGTTTGATTGATGATATTATCTATTTGATGGATGTTTGTTAAGGATTACATGATATTGGATTTCATTTCATGTTTTAACTTTTGACCTAGGAGGGAGATAATCCCCTTAGAGCCCATTATTGTCGTCTTTGGTCACTCCTATTGTATGTTGTCCGGGTAATCCCCGAGGGAGTTGATTCGATCGGTCTCCTAGCGACATCCGAAACTCTAGGTTGAATAGAGCACCTACACATCCATCACTTTGTTGTTCCGCGTCAATCCCGAGGGAGTCTATCTCCTAACGGTAGGATAGTGAGTCAATCGAACTAGAATAGTACTCAACATCGTTCCAATTGACTGAACTAGGAGGATTCAAACCCAAGAGAGCTCCAACCTTGTAAATAGCTAACTTAGTTAGCTTAATTTTCCTAATCACTATTTTAGGTTGGCTAGATAACGAACCCTAACCCCGAAGTAAGGTAAGCCTAAATCCCCGTGGTACGATAAATTTTATTGCTTGCTTATCTTATCCTACACCCGATTGTTGGTTATACTTGGCCATCAATTGGGATGTTGTAGTTAGAGCGAGTAATTTGTGACCACATTTCATCTAATAAGTTCACAATAAAAGCAAACCTATGAGATTAAAAATTGGATAGGTTCACGATAATATATGTGTTTAATTAATAAGTCATGAGCTATTGATATTGGAAGTGATGAAAAGACGAAGATGAGCTCTCTAAGTTAAAAGCTCTGACAACATGTCGAAAATAAATTCAATATATTTTATTAATTCAAGTTATTGACAAACAATTCGAGAATAAATTGTATACCATTTAAATACCTTATACATTTTAAGGTATTAACTAATGATCCGGGAAAAAATGGAGTTTTCCCGAATCTCCAACAACTCTAAAGTCCATTAATGTTTTCCTCGCTGCTAGCTATGGATGATGAATGAATGATAAGGGGTGGAGAATATATAGAGGCTAGCTATGATTAGTTAAATGCTTAAGAGTTGGATGATTAAGTTGACAAACGCACGCACCTACTACCACCTGCAGTAGTTGAACCTGGTGGTGACAGCTCGCCCAATTAAGCTCAACTCAGCCATTATCTGGCAACTTATATATAATAAGTGTGAGGGAATCGAAATGATCAAGTGGTGCCCAGGGTTACGTTGCGTGAAACTCACGGTACGTACTACCCACTCCTTTCCACGCACCAAACTCGATCCATAGGATCCTACATGTATCCTCTGATCAATGCTATACTATTATCATTATTCTTCCTTAATGATCATTCTTGTTCATCAATTAAGACATCTCCTCTTTAATTATTTCATTTCCTATACTTTTCTACACGACTGAGATCACAAGTTTAATTAAGGCAAACTCTCGTCACTATGAATTTGATCATTGATTTTAGGGTTATAGGTATAATATGCCCCTCTACTATGACGTTTTATCAAACATGCCTCTTTACTATTTTTTACATCAAACATACCTCTGTACTATGAAAAAATTATCAAACATGCCCTTCTGTTAAAATTTTCATTGAAAAAATCGTCAATCATGATTGAACCGAGATTTGGACGACCCGACATCGGCAAATGGGAGAGAAAATGTCAGTTTTATCTCTCGTTTTATTTCTCTGGGTCTCTATAAAGTGAAATTATTTGAATTATTTGGCTATACAAAAGACAAAAAAAAATTAAAAGTGAAATTATTTGGGATATTTTAGACATTTGTGCCACCCAAACCAAAGTTTGACCCTGGTTAACGGTTTTTGGATGAAAATTTAAACAAAAGGGAATGTTTGATCATTTTTACAAAGTACAGGGGCATGTTTGATGTAAAAAATAGTAGAAGGACATGTTTGATAAAACGTCATAGTAGAGGGGCATATTATACCTATAACCCTTGATTCTACTATGATGATCGTGACACAAGTAAATGTAAGTATATAAATTAATTAATTGGTAATACCTTATAAGTGGTTTTCATCATCAGCATTAGGGGTGGAGGACCGGTCGGTCCAGTTATAACAAAAAATCGAAGGATCGGTTATCGGTCAACCGAACCACCTCCCAACCCTACCGACCACCGATCGAAAGAGGGTTTAAGCCTTCGGTTATCTCGGTTTTCGGTTAATCGAACCGCCCCAAAACCAAAAACTATATTGCCCAGCCTCCGAACACTGACCGAATTTCGATTATCTCGATTTTCGATTAGTGGATAACCGGTCGATTAACTACTAACTGCTAACTGATTGTCCAGTCCTAATCAACAGCAACGAAGGTAGAAGATAAGACAAGTATGCCATTTTACATTAATTACATAAATAAATATTTTAAAGACCTAATTCATAACTTATTATCAAATATAATCAATATAAAATGTTCACGGAGTCTTACTTACAAACATTAACCGGTGAAACGAATTTATATTGTATTCAATTTCGTGTTTCTCTAGAAACAAAGGGTTACAAATACAAGTAACTAAGTATTAACATGTCAACATAACTAATTACCTCTCGAAGACCTCTCCACCTTCATTGTCACATCATCATATCTATAGTGGCTTAACTCGATATGGAGAACATAACCATTCACACTCTTTAGGAATAGAGTTTTAATTTGCCCCTTCATAAATTTATCCAAGTACTTCCACCAAAATTAAAGGAATCCGTGATCATGATGATCCGATTGATCCCTTCATTATCACACAAAGTGTGTACTATTCGTGTTAGCCTTCCTTAGGATCTCAAATATATGGGTGGAAAGAGCACAAAAAGAGCGAAAACCCCAGATCTATATGTACACTCCAAGATAACAAATGCAATTCATATATATACATATATATATATATGCGTCAGACACATACTATGCGACAGGATTCTCTACCGTAGATCTAATCTAACGGTCATTATAAATTATATTAAAATTAGTAATAATAATTACTACTTGCACCCCTTAAAATAATTATATGTGCTATATAGCCCCCCATAATAATTTGCGTTTTATTTTCTCACATGATACCTATTCGTTTTTGTGAGAACTCAAATGATACCTTATTTCTTCTAGATCTTTTAATGAACACCCAAAAATTATACAATTGATAAAATAAAGTTCCATTAAAAGGTTGCCCCAATTCGACAATCCTAAACCACCATCATCGTCATTACGATTTTTCTAGATACCCCAATTGCAAACCACTAATTTTACCATCATCATCATCGTCCCTGCTTCTGATCTACATCGACTTTGGCTCATCATCATCCGTTTTTAAGGTCGCAGATGACAGCTACCCTTTCGCGACGAATCCGAATCAATTGACGGTGAAAGACTATGACCTTTACGTCCTGTAAACAATGACTAAGGCTGAAATGGAGAGAGGGGATTGGGTCTCGTCAAGGAAATTCTCTTGGTCGGAGTCCAAAATCGTAACGGAGTGAGAAAGTTTGGACGATACATGAAAGGGAATTCTCTTGGTCGGAGTTCAGAATAGTGAGAAAGTTTGGACGATGAAGAGAGACGGCCGTCGGATTACGGTGGTGACGGCGGCAACTGGATAATTAGGAATTTTGGGGGCTAGGGAAGACGACGATACATGAAAAAACGACATTGTTTTGTGCTCGTCTCTGAATCGAAAGTGGCCTGGAGAACGGCGTCGTTCTATAGGTATAGCTGAAAACAAAAACAAAAATTGTAATGGTATGGGGGTCAAACCGGTGTCCTGGTCATTACCATGGGCATTCTTCACCATTCATGCTGTACAAGGATTTTGATTCAATATACTTCCACTTTTTTATTTATAACCATAAAATGAATTCTTGTAAAATTAAAACACAAAACTAACCTAAGCAGGCCTTTTGTACCAGGCCCAATAGGGCTTAGTCGAGCAGATCGGCGGCTGCCCCTGCCCTCCCTTTGTCTCTTTAACAATAATCAATTGTAAAAAATACAATAAAACAGAGAACAATAATGGCAAAGTTGAAAATTGGAAGACTACTTACCTACCAAATATAGCAAACGATTTATCTTCTGCTTTTTCTCCCCTCCCCATGCGCTGCCTTCTCGGTTTTCCTTCAAACTGATCAGACACATACTCAACCGCCCTCATCCTCCCTCCGCCTCCGTTGCATGTCTCCGCCTCCACCCATCAAGCAACCGCTGGTCGCTCAGTAGCGGTCTCCTCCTCCGGGCCACCATCGTCGCCTGCCACCTCCGCCGCTGATTCGCTGTAGCGGTTGTGGGAAGAAGAGCGGAGGAAAGTCGCCCGGACTAACCACGTCGGTTGTGGGAAGAAGAGCGGGCCACCATCGTCGCTTGCCACCTCCGCTGCTGACTCGTTTCCGATCTGCTCGACTAACCACGCGGTGTCGCCGGCCACGTTTCCACCGCCGCAGGTACTTTTCTTTAATTGATTGTTAACGATTTGGTACGTTCTATTAGAATAGTTGATCATAATGTGTTCTTATACTCCTATTGAACATCCACAGTACGTGCAAGAACAAAAATTGAGTAGGGTTTCCGTGCTGTAATTTTCTGACAATGGATGATATATCGCAATGGTACCCGTAAGTATTGTTTACCAACTAATCGTTACGACAGTCTACTCCGCTTCCTTTTCCTATTGTCAGCCATTACTAACGTCTAACGGTTTTTTTTATAGCGACTTTATGGTTGAGCCTGGTTTCGTTGCAAAGCTGAAGTATGAGGAAGCAGTACATATGTCTATTTTTTCGGATTCAATCGATCTTACATTGTTGCAAGAGAATGGTGACGATGAGGTTATTGAAAATTTGAAATTAATTTTTTTGTCATTCATCCTTTCGATCTCGTTTGCAATTATTGTGTTTGTTAATGCTTGTTAATTTTTTTTAAAATTCTTTTTCTTGTTTTAAACACCAGGGCACTTCTTACCTCATCTCCGGACGTGTCGGCGAGGTGAAGACATCCTGGTGTGCTGAATGTAGAGTTCATTTGATCCACCTAACTATCGAGGATGATTATTTGGATATTGAGGTTGTTTTCCCATCGACAAACTTGCGCAAAATCGTTTCAGATGTAGTAAGTGATAAAGATATGGCCAATGCCGATTTCGTTACCCTTATCAACTTGATTGGTGGAAACTCCTATGAGTTTATGGTCACATTGGGTCCTTGGAACAATGTGTCGAGTTATTTTGAGCTTTTATTGGTAAAATTATTTTTTCCTCCCGGAAACTGAATACCATTTCAGCAATGTCAATAGAATCTACTAAAGTTGCTTAGTGTCCGCCTTAATGTTATTTCTCTTGTTATGCAAGTGTACTAAGTGTGTGAACACAATGCTTTTTTGTACGGGTTTTGCCCTTCTTAATGAATTGTTGCTTGTATCTTTCTATACTTATCGAAACATTTGTCAATTACTTATAAATGGGATCAGTTGCCTAATGAAAAGTTATCAAACAAAATTCATGTTAATTTGGTTCAAATTACTGTATCATCAACATACCACACCCCAATTCGACTATCCAAAAGGCCATTATCTGTTCACCCAAGCAACCCCATAACTAACCATTTATCTCACTAACAGCCATCAAAACCCAACAACCATTAAAACCATGGTTATCTCCAATTACTGCCCAGGGAAGACGATGAGACATGACAAATGTCGTCGTTTGTGCTTGCTGCTAAAGCGAGAGTGTCCCCAGGACGACGTCGTTCCACAAGCGTAGCTGAAACATGATTACATGGATGTGGGTAAAAGAAATAAGAGAATATGGAGAATCGAACAGGCAACCTTGCGATGATAATAGCAAATCTTAACCATCAATGCTGTACAGGTATTTTGATAGTTTAAATGTACACGTTTTGTATACATATGTTGTAACAATTAAACATAATAACAAAAATAATTAAGAAAGTAAAGCAAAATAAATGAAGACGACGACGATTTTTGTATAGAAGTCAATGGCTTTACCGTGACTATATTATATGAAAAAGCTATCTACATGTGCATACCATGCATTTGGACAATAAACCTTCCATACTACTTGTAGACACCAGTTTTTGTCCGGGTTAAAATATTTTTAATAAAATGTTAATTAGTTTCAATTTAAGGTTTGCAATAGCAAATCTTTAATGGCCTTCTAACTAAAACGTATTTTTAGTGTTTGGGAAATGTATTGGTTATCATAACTGAATAAGATTAGCAATAGCAAATCTTATTTGGTACAATTTGGATTATTGAGATTAGCAATAGCAAATCTTAATCGATACAATTTGATAGTGATGGCATGCTTCAGTTAGACGATCTAGTTTTAAATCGAAGGAGTTAAGCTATGGAATGAATACTTGTATGATTCTCTACCGTAGATCTAATCTAACGGTCATTATAAATTATAGGCAAAATACACCTGCATAGCCAAAACTTTCACCTTTGTGCCACTTATAGCCACATTTGGGGAAATACCACTAATAGCCACTTTTGAAAGATGTTGCGTAGGGGTGTACATGGGTCGGGTGGTCCGGGTTTAGCCATTTTATCACCCAACCCATGCACTACGGTTTGGAAAATATCAAACCCAAACCCACCCTAAAAATTTTAAACCCTACGGTTTGTTTCTAATTGGGTTGGGACGGGTTGGCGATATTTTTAAGTAAAACCCCAACCCAACATAAAATATATAATTATTCTACATCATAAAAATATTTTATAACTAATTAAAATTTCAAACGAATAAACCGTGGTGAAAGGTATCAAAATTCACAAATGTTGTTTGAATTTTAATAAAATGTGATTTACTTCAAAATATGTCTAGTTTTTTTACGGTATTTGTTGAAATAGGCTAAAAAGGTTATAAACAAACGCACCCACAATATGTTATTCTATTAAAATTGTACACACGAAAACGATTACGTGAATCATAACTATATTCAATTTATGTCTAAACTTTAAGTCGAATAATGCATTAGATTAGGGAGACCATGAGAGAAAAACATGGCGAAATATCTAAATTTTCTCATAAGTATGGCTATATACGACATAAATATTTTTTAGATACGAACTCATACTAATAGTTGGAACACGGGTTGGGTCGGTTTGGACGGGTGGGTCGGTTTGCGGGTATGTTTGTTCACCCCTAATGTTGCGTGCCAGATATAGCCATTTTCGTTAGAAACTATGACGGCGTTAATAACTCCGTCAACTTATTTGACGGTTCGTTGACGAGGCGCCAAATCATCAACCACGTCAGCGACAACAAAGCAAAAATTGACACGTCATCTTAATAATTTATTTATTATTAAATAAAATTTAAAACTTCCCCCATCTACCTGATCGCACGAGGCTACCAAAAATCCCCATCTATTTCCAGAAAACGAAATTAGGGCTTCCTTCTTCTCCATCACTTTCTAGAAAACGAAATTAGGGTTCTTCCCAAATTTCCTCTTCCCCACGAAGGAGATACACGAAGCTGATTGATGCTTACTCCTCTTCCCCAAATCTTCTTCTAGTTTCTGAACGACTCGGCGCTTCTTCCTTCTTCCCCAAATCCCACTTCTTCTCGGCCGATTCGCGACCCCGAAATCGCGATTTCTCCTGGCCAGAACTTCACGCGAAGGTCATCCTTGTCCAAGCGAGCATCTTCCTCAACTTCGACTAGCATCAATAGCCGAGGGGCGGTACTCTGTTGGCACAAGAAGCCATGTGTGGTGAATACATCTGGAACCGAAGCGAACCCAGGAAGACAGTTCTATGGGTGTCCATTTTGGATGGTAAGGTGTTTAGATATGGGTTTTGAAATTGTCATTGATGTGGGTTCTAAGTTAAATGGTCGTATGGTGCAGGACGAGAAGAAGAACTGTCATTTTTTTAGGTGGGTGCGAATGAATGTCGATGAAGATAAGCACCATGACTCTAAAATTGGGTGTTCGACTTTGAATATTGAAGAAAGTTTGAGGCTAGCTGAGTGTAAGGCGGAAAGGAGGAAGAAGGAGAAGAAACTTTTGGCTGAAGAGCTATCAAGATGGATGAAGGCACATGAAATTATGCTAGCTGAAGGAAGGAGAGTTAATCATGAAATCCATGTAATTCGAGCTTTATTGATAGTGATTGTCGTACTGAACCTAATATTGGTTATTCTTATGTTGCATCACGTTATTATATGGTAGGAAATTAATCGACATTGATATGAGAAGCAAAAGGTTTCTGAAAACATAGTTGTCATCCTAAATGTTGTGTAGAAGCAATTGGTATTTGTGTTCTTAATGTAGTTGTGTTCTTAATGCTTGTTACACTATATTGATTTAGAAAATGCCACACATTTGTCAATTAAGGCTGGCTACATAACTTGGTTTGTCTTTAGGGTACGTTTAAAATCAGGAATAAAATGTTGGAATTCCATTAATATGTTTTATATGGTATGTGATTGTATTTGGTGCAGAAGACCACCTGAGTGGCAGGTAGCAGGTCCCGACTTTGGCATATGACACGAGTGGTTCTTGTAGATGTGGCACTATAGCATTGGTATTTTTAGATAGAGTGGATGCAATAGAAATTCTTCCATGCTCCGAGATCACCATGTCATTTTACTGACATGGTACTCTCAACTAATAAAAAACAACCACTTGGAAATTGAGTAATTAATAAAATACAGGAATGGAATTGACTCGCATTTAATTAGTTTATCAATTAATTGGTTAATCTTTCCTTATTGATTACTAGCACCGGGCCCGGCCCTTTGGCCGGCTAGAGGCCCATTAATCCAGCCATAAGGCATCCAGGCTCAATTGAATTAAAAGCCCAATTTTTTCCCCTTTACTTTTATAAATTGAGTAAAATTATTAAACTAAGAAATAGTAACCCAAAATCAAAAGACGAAAACGGTTCAGTTTCCTTCTTCTCTTCCATTGCTCTGTTCAGTCTCCGACGAAGACAGCAAAGGGCCACCAAATTCATTGCATGGACGCCGTTCCCTGTCTTTCTGTCTGCGTGACCGACTGCATTCTCAGTTCCAGCGATTGATTTCCAAACCCTACCTCGCAACATATTTTCTTTCAGTCTCTCAACAGCAGCGAAGTTTTTTCTAGCCTCTGATAATCTGGTCAACGGTGCCTGACTCGACTCTACTGTCATTTCAGGAATTGGCCAAGTGTAACCACTTCCTAAAGCGTAGTATAGCGGGTTTAGGTTTAATTATCAACCCGGGTCCTAGATTTGATGACTACTCAGTGAATTCTTGTTATCTAGCAATGAAACTTTAATGCAAGTCTAAACTAACAAACTAACAAAGCAAGTAAACGGTTGTATTCAGGTTAAAGAGGTCACCCGGATGTGGTTCCCCCTAGACTGCAGTTAAGCCGGATTGTAATTACCAAGTTCAGTTTCTATGAAGATTATACTGCGGAAGGTTCTTAAACAGCCTGAAGTCTCGACTAAAGGTCTTCAGACCCTCTCAATCTGACTCTCTAGCGGGCGACTAACCTCCACCGGAGTCGACAGATTGAGGCCCTAAGAACAAAACCTCCACTACCGGAGTAAATCCGGTATAGAATAGTGAGTTGGCTCCTCGACTAAAGTCACCAACTCCCTACCTTCAATCAAGGATACTCTATTAACCTAGGCAGATATTCTCATTCTAGGTTAAAGCAGAAACAACAGGAATTTGATCAGGATTCAAGTCATTCAATCATTAAAACCTCAATCGAATATAATCAATCACAGAATCAGTACTTGGGTTCATACAATCAAAACCTAACATACAAATCTAGGGTTCTCCATACCCAGATGAATGGGAGAACTACTCCATGGAGAAGAAAGCAAAAGCAGAAACAGACACGGAATTCATACTGCGAAGGATGGATTCCGGCTCCTGGACGTTGATCGGCACTTCTCCAAGCTCAAGCTGGCCTCCAATGGTGTTGAAGATCAATCTAGGGCACTTGGGAACTCTTGCTCGTCACTTTCTCTCTCTAGGAACTGATCTCTCTCTCAAAAACTCGAATCCCCTTGAATTGTGGCTGAAAATCTGCTTAAAAGCATCAGTGGCCAAAGCACGGTCGAGGGCACGGCCGTGCTTTGCCTGACTCCGCCCGTGTCTCGGCCAGGGCTTAATTACACGGCCAGCAAGTGGGTTAAACACGGCCGTGCTTCTCAATGTACACGGCCGTGCTTTGACTGAACACGGCCGTGCTTCGGTGCCCGTGTTTGCAGCTGAATTGGCCAAACTGAATTTGCTCTCGGCATAAAAAGCACGGCCAGCAGTACACGGCCGTGTAATGCCTTAGGCTGCCTGTGTTTTGGCTCCAGCTCACCGAAATGACTTCCGAATGCCCCGAAACTCGCGCTTAGCCTTCCCTTTGACACCTGGGACCTGAAACATGACAAAATAGCACAACCCGACATAAAATAGGCCAAAACACACGACTATGCCCCTCAAACGGATAAGAACTAGGGTCGCAAATATGTGCAATTACATCGTTATCAGTGCCCAAAACGATTCCAGATTATGTGAAGGTATATGCATCTAAACAGGACTACGAATACTATCATTGAACTTTGTTTTCTCCCGATCTACTAACATCTTGGATTTCAGAAAGTGTTTCAGTTCGAGACTCCGACCAAAATTTTGCGAGCTCCACAGGTGCGAGGTAGGGTTTGGAAATCAATCGCTGGAACTGAGAATGCAGTCGGTCACGCAGACAGGAACTGAGAAATCAAGCTCCAAAAGTGTTTTCTCCCGATCTACTAACATCTTGAGTAATTGCTTTTTAACCAACCCATAATAAACATATTCTTGTGTTCTCACCACATTTCAATACAATTGCTAATATTGCTAATGATCTAAATTATAGGTTTTTTACCATGGGAGACGATTTCGTTACGAATCTAAATTATCAAACTGTCGTAGCAATTTCTCAAACCGTTGAAACTATACATCTTATCCTAATGCAATTGGATGGTGCTCGTCAGGTGACTAAGATCACATGTTTCATGTTTGTTATCTATCCTTCTCTATATGTTATATCAATGATTTGGGTTCAATATTTGGTATTATTTTGAACTCCTAATGGTTTGGATTATATCAGGGCAATTCGTACATTTTCTCTAGCGTTGTAACAGAGTTGAGGAGATCTTGGTGTGAGGCATCGAGGGTATATTTGATTCACTTGACCATTGAAGATGACATTACTGATGTTGAGGTCGTGTTCCCATCATCTTACTTATGGAGAATCATGTCTTCTGTTGTCAGTCCTTCTGAGCTTCAAAATGCGGACTATGTTACACTTCTCAACTTGATTGGTGAGAAGGCATATGAGGTATTGGTCACATTCGGTCCTTGGAACAACGTGGGGAATTATTTTAATCTCTTCTTGGTAAAATTGTTCCCGCCTTTAGATAACTAAGTAGCATTGGGTATTATTAATATGATCGGATTAATGTTAGTAATGGTCCGCCTCTCTGTAATCTCTAATGATCTGTAAGCATAATGGATATGTGAACGCTACTATCTTTTGTAAGTTTATTATCCTTTTGAGGTGGTACTTGATGTAAAATATGAATTTAATTTAGTTATGGTACTTTGAACAAATTAGTCCTTTTTTCATTTTCCCTCTATTATAATTAAAAAAGCATTTATTTAATTCCATTGAATTATTACAACGTAAGAATTACATAACAGTGCTACTATTAATGCATTCTAGTCCCAAATCTCTTCCATTCATTATATGAGATAATGTAGTGCGACTGCCAATTGGCAAACCAATTTAACACAAATCAACAAAACAGAAATGGATAATTCACAAAGGCAACAAATGGTAGTTCATAAATGAAAAGAACACAAATTAACACTTAACCAAGTTCAAATAAATAGAACTTAGAAACATAGTCTGAAAGGTGCATTTCGTGTATTAGAACATCTAGCAAATGATTTGTGGGGAACGAAAGCAAAAAAGAAAAAAGAATAATAAAAAATCAACCTACCATAAAAGCAGGAGGAAATCAAAACTAACTCCTACATGGAAAGTAGAAGACATTCAACCAAAAAAACGTTTTACTTGCCTTTAAAGAAATTATTTATCTATCAATGACTTACCATTAATTAAAATGGAAAGTAGAAGCCAAAAAAACGTGTTGCCTTTGTGATTTGAACCTGTATCCAAGGAGTCATATTTCCACACTATTTCCACTACGCCAAATGACATTCACTGGCTTTAATTTGGCGTAGTAATTATTTAATTTTTTATTTTATACATAATATCTCAAACCATTATCGTGACTGTTGAGATTGGGGTCAAGGTTGTTGGATCCTTGAAGATTATAAATCTCGATCCATAATAACACTAAGGGATTTGGCGTCGTAGTATAGTTGTCGTGGTATAGTGGTCGACGTAGGACGTATCCCCAGGCAAAATGGCCTCGCCTACTACTTGAGCATAATCATAATCTAATAAAATCTTATAGTTTTAGTTTAAATTAAACTAGCCAACTTGAATCTATGAAAGATGCGCTACAACGATACTTTTGTAGTCATCTCCCTAACCCTAATTGTCACAAAAATCGTGCAACAGATGATAAACATATCCAAGGTAGTTTAGGCAAGAGGGTTGATAATATGAAAATCAATGCAATGGATAAGTCTTCCTAGTCGAAGCAAGGTTAGCTCAAATTTCAAGAAGGCTGGTTTGGGATCCTAGTTATGTAGTGTAATGCGAATTGGGGATCATTTGTCACCCAAATAAGTTGTTGAATAGAATTGAATTATTGCGTACGAAAGCAAGCATTGTGTTTTATGGTTGTTGTCATACTAACATTGGTAGAGTTGTATGTCGTAGGGAGTGTGGTAGCCATACATTAAATTGATTGGGCTCCTTTTTATTTTCAAAATGCAAAATTCCGTTTATCTAATGAAGTTTGAGTTAATTGGTGTCCTTAGATGAGCTAACATGAACGAAAGTATGAGGTCCTAAATTCAAAGGATCATATTTAACCTTACATATCTGAAGAATTTTGTTGCCCTGTTTTTTCCCAACTGAGTCCTATGACCCCTCTCCTCAAGAGGTGGCTCAGCCACTGCCCGTATGGTGTTTACGTATTCAACAATTGTAAAATGCAACATTTCAACGCTTAATTCTAACACAACGTGGTTAGTAATACAAGATTGATTTACGACATACAACGTTTTCAACAGATCTTGGTATTCTCATTGTTTACAACGTGTTAAACTATAGGAAATTAAATTGATTAAAGAAACTCCCATTGTTTACATAGGGACCAACTAACCATCCCCCATTGGCCCATTTTCCCTCCTTGTTTTTTGTTTAAAAACGAGTTATGTTAGTAGCAAAAAAAAGGAAACAATGCATGTTGGCCATGTGTTCTCGAGCGCAGCCCATTCACAGCCCTTCTCTCCCACGCGGCACGCGCATTGGTTTTGGAAATCCAAACCCTAAATTCCATTTTCCCCTTCCTTTCTCCCCAATCCAGCTGCTCCCTCCTTTCCACCATAACCAAGATGAAACCCTAGTCGTCGCTCATTACACATTCCCCCTCCCATTGTTCTCAATCACTTATGTTCTTTCGCCTTGAACCCAAAGGGAAAAAATCCTACCCACCTACCTCTTCATTCCTTCCTCTACTTGCCTCCAGGCTCTCGCTTCGTTGTGAGGGGTCTTCTTCTCTGGCGCGAAATGGGTGACGATTTGGAGATTGTTGTCGGGGAGACAACTGCAAGGAGGAAGGTTCGTATTTTACTCAAATAGATTTTTGATCTTATTCTTGGTAGCTAATGAAGGCCTGACTCCAGTAGCCTAATCCCCTCGTTTGTTTTTGTTTTTGTTTTTTTGGTTACCTAATCCAATCCATTTAATTGATCTTCTTTTATTTTTTATGAGGTTGTGTTGGCGGCAGTTCGGCGGCCAGTCCCAACATGTAGATGTGTCTACAAAGGGCGGAGAAGAACATCAGATGTAGTTGGAGTGTTCATAATAAATATTGTGGAACCATATTCCATCTGGTGGTTCTTTTCCGCCCACTTGACTCCTACATTTTGGAAGAAACTCGCAAAGGCTGTAGGAGATTTGAAAGATTTGAGGTTGGTTTTGTTTTATTGTTGTTTCGTCTGTTGTTTCTTTGTTGGTCCGAATCCCTCAACTGAGAAAATTCATTGCTTGCAGAGTTGTGAAGGCCACTGATGGATTCGGGAGATAATTTATGTACCTCTGGTTCTATCACAATTTTGATGGTATCATTTTATTTCCTTCCAGTTTCAAATGTTCATTTGAGAACACATGTATATGCGAAATATTTGGTTGAGGCTTGCGCAGATAATGTGATTGTTGTCATACGCTTTCTTGAGGGGTACTAGAGTAGATGATATAGTAATTCTGGAATGTATTGCAGCTATGTAGGAGTGCTTCATTCATAGGAATGCCCCGTTACTATTTAGCTTGAATATGTACCATTGGAACTACGGTATCCTTTATTCCTGAACCCTTCAAGAAAGTGTATGATAGTAATATGTGGTCTGCGGAAGTATTTCAACCTGGACCATATAATTTAACAAATTTTCATTTTTTATATGTTGCTTTATGAATTATCATTTGTTTGATTTGTCGATTTTCTTTCATTATGGGTGCACGTCGTTGCCATGGGGAGTGTGAAAGGAAGGATGGAGTCTTACATGCGAGAAGAACATTATCCAGATGAGTACCCAAAGTAGGATTTGTATGCTTTGTTGTGGTCCCAAGCTTCCATCGGGCTTTTTTTCCTGTATTGTGAATGACGCTATTTTTGGTGTGTCTATGCAGGAGTTAAACCCCTGAAGAATTATGTCAAGTGAGGCCAAAAGGAGGAATCGCTATTCTCTATGGGGTCATACTAGTGAAGGAGAAAGAAATTGGCCCGATGTGGTAGAGTCAGTTGTAAAATGGTGATCGTGATACCAAAACAGGCGAAAAATCGAGATACTGAAACAATGGAAAATATGCAGAACTGAACTGGGGGTCATTTGTTCGGATATGTTGAAGGAGGATTTGTATGCTTTGTTGTGGTCCCAAGCTCATTTGTATGCGTTTCCGGTGGCTTTTGTTGTCTGCGAATTCCAGGTTGTTTTTTTTTATGGTTCTTCGAGTTCATCTGTACCCCTGTGTATTTTTCTTCTGGTCGGGTTTAGGGTTCCCCATTCTCATGAGCAATTAGGATTTGGGGTTGGAATTGGCCTGGCATATGCGATTAGGGTTTGTACCTAACGAATGGATTAGTAACTTGGTTGCTTCGTACTCCTTGATGTTTGATTGTTTTAACCTCACCACTTTGGCATTATATATATATATGAATCCATACCACAATTGTTCTGTTTATCTGTATGCTTAGGTTGATAAATTCTGTTGAACCTAAGGCCTTAATCCATATCTAATGGTGG